TTTTGTCATAAGATTGCCACCTTGTAGTCATGTTCAGGGTGGTCAATCAAGCGTAATGACACCCCAAATATCGACTCAAGCACCGCTTGGGTCATGGTATCTTGCACGCTACCAAGATGACAGAGCTTACCGTCTTTAAGGGCGATGATATCATCACAAAACTGAGCAGACAGATTGATATCATGGATAATTAATACCACGCCCAATTCACGTTCTTTTGCCAACTGACGTAATAAACGTAAAATTTCGACTTGATAGACAATATCCAATGGGGCTAAAAGTTCATCAAGTAGTAGATAGCGGGTTTGCTGTGCTAATGCCATGGCAAGCCACGCCCTTGCTCGCTCACCACCCGACAACGATGCAACCGTCTGTGTCGCCTTATGCTGAATTTGGGTTTGGTGCATACTGTGTTCTACAATATCTCGGTCGGCTTGGACGGGCTTACTAAGCCAGCGTTGCCAAGGGTAACGCCCCAACATCACCAGTTCTTCCACGGTAAATGCGTGGGTCGCAGGTAAATTCTGCGGTAGATAGGCGATTTTTCTGCCCAATGCCTTACCGCCTAATTGTCGTAAAGGCGTATCATCAACACGGATATCACCGTGTGAAGGTAGTATTTCACCTGCCATCAATTTGATGAGTGAAGATTTTCCAGAGCCATTTTGACCAATAAGGGCATACAGTAATATCACAGGAAATGTCTTCAAGTATGGGGGTATTACTTTGTTGCCAAGCGACTTGATTGATTGTCAGCATCGAGTATCTCGTCTAAATTTTAAGAACTTTGTTACAATGAATAACGCTGATTAATTATTAGCGTTAAAGTTAAGAATCTGCCATAGCGATGCTCTATCATCGCCAATAAACTTTTAAAACCATCTGTTGTCTATTCATTGCTAAGGCCTGTTGCAACCAAGGTCTTAGCGTTTTGACCAGTCTTGCTTGCAGTCCGCCCCACACGCTGTCAAAGGTCATCTGTTCATCCAGTAATTGCTGAATATGTCCTTGTATGTCATGGCTATCATAATGATTTATTTGAATTAAGCGATAAGGCGTGGCACTTGTACTGTGTGATAAATAAGCCTGTTCGGTGGCATTGTGGGTCATGACCATCACCACAGGTGGGATAGGATTTTGCCATTGCTCAAGTAACCGTGCCACAGTTGGTAACGATGTTTCATCCGCTATAAGCAAAGCTTTGCCATCATGTAAATGATGAACATGCTCGGCAAACTCTCGCTGGGTGGTGATGGTGTCGCCAAGCTTGCGAG